TTTTTTTTTTTTTTTTTTTTTGGTACTGGGGATTGAACTCCTGGCCTTGCACTTATGAGGCAGGAGCCAGAACCACTGAGCTAAATCACCAGCCCTGCTTGTGCACATTTTAGAGACAAGAAAACCGAGGGAGGAGGGCTTGGTCTTGCTGTAGAATTAACAGCAGGCAGCAGCAAAATTAGCATTTCAGTCCCGTCCATCCTCCACTGATCTTCTGTTATGATGGCCTGGGCTCAGGCCCAAGGCAGTAGGTGGACCCAGGGGAGTGTGGGGATGAACTGTATCTAGCAGCCAAGGCCACGGAGCTGGCTTTGCATAGCTGAGACAGTGGCTGATACTTCCCAGGAACCCAGGTGTCAGGACACAGCCTGGTCCCTGAGCTGGCACAAGTACAGTGGGTCGAGGATTTCTCCCAAAAGCCTGAAATCTCAGGCCAGCATGTGGCCGATTGGGCTGGAGCCAGGAAGGGAGCTGGTCATGGCTCCCAGCCATCCTGTGTTGCTACAGCTGCCCAAGGTCAGGCTGCTACTGCTGGGGTGACAATGAATATGCTCCGGGCTGGAGGCAGGAGCCAGCCAGTGGCAGAGTCCTCCAGGCCAGTTCTATAGGGTGACATTGGGTCTCCTGGTCACTGCACGTGGGCTTCTTTTTGCTGAGGTTGGGAGCTAAATTCTCACGAGCAGGTTGGGATTGTCCTAGGGCCTCAGAAGATGGTGCAGGAGAGGAGGATGGCAAGGGTAGGGGCACATTTAGGAAACATGAGATTAGGGGCAGAATATGTGTTTCACTGCCTTTTGTGCCACTGCTTTGCCATAAAACCTTTCTGCAAATGAGTTCCCTCATCTATAAGATGGGCCTGATCAAAAAAACGATGTCAATAAATGATGGTGATTATCAGCTATTAGTACTTGCCAGAAACATGTTGGGCCCTGCCGTGTTACCATTCAGCAGATGAGATCACATTGAACTTTACTGCTTACACAACCCTCTCAAGGTGAATTTTGTTCATTTATGGGTGACAGCAACAATAATAACCCAATAACAGTAATGACAGCTCATATTTATTGACACACACTGCATACCAGATATTCCCCATGCCTCACAGGGCAGGCTGGTAATAGCCTCATTTTGCAGATGAGGAAACTGTGGCTCCAGTACACTGCAGTGACTTGTCCAAGGCTGAGTTACATTCAGTTTTTGAACTCTTTTTTTTTTTTTTTTCCAGATAGCACTAACTGAGCCAGTTCCTTTAGTGAGACAGCTTGACTGACTATAAAGTCAGTTGACTGACTATAAAGGGGAAATGTGGGGCTGGGGCCCCTGACCTGGCCTCATTTTAGAAATGGATGATGGAGGCCAGGAGGGGAGGGACTTACCCTAGATTCTGCAGGCTAAAAGCCAGAGCTCCCTGTGAACTTGAACCTGAGGTTAACTGCAGTACCGCAAGCTGCCACTCCCACCTCTACAGTCAGGCCCAGAGGCTGAGGCTGCTGCCTCTACAGTCTGAGCTCCTAGTGCAGACTCCAGCACACAGAGGGACTCAGTGGTTATTGAAACAAATTAAAGCTTCTTTGCTGGCTCTATGGCAGGGAGGGTCTTTCTGCTTGGAGTCTGCAGACCCCCACCCAACCTGTGAGCCACCATATTAACAGCCCAGGGCTTCCTGAAGTGGCTGCCCTCCAGAATAGGAAGTGGGTCCCTGCTGGCCCTCTCTGGCCACAGCCCTGGGAACTGCTGCCAACTGGTCTGAACAGTGGGGTGCTTGCTTATGTGATGGGGCTGCACAGCCTTGGCTTCTCTGAGCTCTGGTGGGCTACACTGTTCCGCAGGCTGCCAGGTGCCATGGCCCAGGGCATGATGGAAAGTAGGCTGGCTTCGATCTGTAACTCTGCACCTGCTCAGATATAGCCTTAGGCAAGTCTTGTTCTCTCCCTACCTCCCTGTGAAATGGGGATATTAGAAATCCTATCTAATACGGCTCTGCAGATCTAATGAATCAGTAAGCAGAAAAGCTTACAACAGTGCTGACATGGAGTGGCAAATACGTGTTACATAAAATATATCAATCAACTAATGGGGCCCTGGCCCTGAGTGCCCAGGGGCTGTGGGCCAGCTGGATCTCTCTGCTCCCTAGGTCCCCATTCCCCCGTAGGGAGCAGCACTGTCATTTCTGCTGGGCTCAGACTTGGATGAAGCACTAGACAGGGAGTTAGCAATCTGTGTTCTCAGCCCTGCGACCCAGTCGCTGCTTCCTTGGGAAAGTCAGTTGCCCTCTCTGTACCTGTGTTTTACTGGCTGTAAGTAGGAAGAGTGAAAGATCTCCAAGAGTTCCCCAGCGTAAGTAGCCTGGCTGTCAGCTGCAGGCCATACACTGGGAGGGCCACTGGCTCTACTATTAGTGTCTGGGGCTGCAGGAGAATTGAGGCAGAGGTTGCCCCAGGCTTCCCTCAGACACTAGATCTCCTGTGCCTGAGGAGGAGGCTTCGGGCCCTCTTCTCTTTGTGCCTCAGTCCAGTGCATTGATGTGCAGTGTTCTGTACCCAGCACCCCAGGTGGGCAGAGCTGCCTTACCCATCACAGCAGTGTCTAATCATGGCCTGGTTGAGCTGACCGTGTAGCTGCGTCTCTCTTGCACTGGGCTGGCAGCTCCTGAGGTCAGAGCCCAGGCTATCTGTTCTTCATCACATCCCTGAAGCCTAGCATGCTGCCTGGTGGGAGTGCTCCAGAGTTACGTGGTGATAAAGCCACAGTGTACCTCTTATGTAAATGCGTCCTGTACTCAGGCTCTCCACCCTGCAGGTCTCATCCCAAGCACTAGAAATTCTGTCCTAGGAGCCAGCCAGCCCCACTGGGAATTGCTCAGCCCCAGTAAAGTTGGCTGTTTCCAGAGACTCCCTTGCTTAGTTCCCAGGCCAAAGGTGGACCCTAAGTCTCAAGAGTCTTCAGGATGATAGCTTCCAATCTGGAAGGTTCCCAGTCCCTTGTGAGGGCTTTCTTGGCCCTGGTGCAGGGACAAGGAGAACACTGGTTGGAATTTATAAGTGGCCGACTCAGACGATGGCTGCTATGCATTGTTGTCCCTGGTAAGGGATGCTCTCTCATAGCTGCGTGCGCAGGTGAGTGTGAGAGAGACAGGAATGGAGTAACAGAACAGAAAGGGGCCCAGGGAAGGCAGAGACGAATTCAGAGACATTGAGTCTACAACAAGGAGAGTAAGAGCTGAGAAACAGTGCTTCGGTCTGGGGTGGCCGAGGTGGGATGCAGTAAGGATAGGAGAATGGGGTTCCTTCTGCCCAGTTGTTGGTGTGCTGGCACCGGGTGCCTCCCACTCCAGTGGGAGCTGCTCACGGCATGAACACTTCCGCCTTGGCCTGGGAGACCAGGAGTGTTAGGCCAGGAGTGTTTGTCGGTGTTAGACAACATGCTGAAGCAGCCACAGCATCAGAGAGCAGCTTCTGTGCTGGCAAAGCGCTTCTTGCAGTGATGAGGTGGCAGCGTGGTGGAGGGTGGGCACCCAGAGTGGGACCCGGGGTGTTCCATCCTGGATACACAGCCACCTAGTGGTGTGACCCAAGGCAACTCCCTCTGCCGTCAGTACATGGGAGTCTTCCCCTCCCAAGGTGAGGTGTGGATTAAGTAAAGGAATGCAGGCAAAGCTTTTGACGCAGGGCTTGGCAGCACCAGCTCTCTGAGCCCTCTGTTAATCCCACAGATGGGTGGGGTTGGGGGGATCAGCTCCATTTTGCAATGAGGAAACCAAGGCACAGAAAGGGGCAGGAACTTGCTCAATGAGCCCCAGTGAACCAGTGCTAGAGCTGGAACTAGAATTGGGGAGCTTGTGTCACAGTCTAGTGCTGTTTCCATTGTCCCTCCCTCTTTCCGTTTGGATGTCTACTTTTGTGGTGCGAACTCCTGGGTCTTGTAATGGGCCCCTCTCGGCCTTCTTGTTGGGAAGGAAGCCTTGCTCTCTGCCCCTCTCACTTTCCCTGAGTTCGGCACATTAAAGTGCCTGGTAAAAATGCGTGTCCCCAGCTGAGCCGGATGGGGACTGAAGCTGCCATTACTTGACTGTGCCGACAGCTGCCACCTTCTTAGGGTCGGCTGTGCAGCCTGCAGGACCCTGGGTTCAATTGCAGCCGCTCACGGGGACAGAGAGGCGCGCGGAGGGTGGGGGTGTGTGACAGAGAAGCCTCCGTGATTGGTTCAGTCCGGCCAGGGAGCGGCAGCCGCTGGCTTTGCGCTGCCCCAGCTGGGGAGCGCTCAGGATGTGTGTGGGGTGGAGCTGCCTCGGGATCCCAGGGGCAGGAGTTGCCGCTGAGAGGGATGGACACCTCTTCCTCTGGAGCAGCACTTTGGGGGCCGGCTTGGCTCCAAGGGACTGGCGGCAGGGGACCCAGTGTCAGCGTTGGTGAGAGTGTAAGCGAAGAGCTGGCTCCGTCCCTCGCAGGCTGAAGGACCAGCTGGCTGAGGACTCTTCCTTGACAAGTCCAGGCTCCTTCTCAGGTGAAAGTAATTTGAGAAATCCCGGAGTTTTCGCTTTGATGGAGGAAAGGAATCCAGCCTCTCTCCAGAGTGGTAGCGACCGGCTGGACAGGGTGTGTGTTTCGGAAGGGCGCTCGCAGGAGGAGAAGGAGGAAGAGGAGGAGGATAAGTAGGAGGAGGAGGAAGAGGAGGAGGGACGGTGATGCAAGGGTTTTGAAAACGCTACCTAGATGTGGGAGGTGGAACCTGGTCATTTGGTTCTGCTTTTCCCAGCAGGTAGCGCTCCCCTGGGGAACTTGGGTAAGTCCATAAATAGCCCTGCCAACACAAAGGAGCTCTGTCTGGGGAAGGCAGTCGCTTGACACGGCAGCCCGCCCGCCCGCGGGAGCTGCCACAGCCACGGCGGCCCGCCTGCCCGCGGGAGGAGCGGGGTGGAGACCCGGTGGGGCGGGCTGGCAGGAACGGCAGCCAGGAGTCGCCTGGGTCCCTGCAGAGAGTGCTGGGTAGGTGCCTCGGTGACAGGGCTGTGTGAGGTGGGTGAGGGGGCTCTTGTCCAAGCCGCCCTGTGCCCTGTTTCTACTATTTCTATTGTTTCTTCCCTAGGGCAGCCATTGGTAGGCATGTTGTGACCAAACTGGTTGTGTTCTGTTCTGGATCGCTGGGAGAGAGAGAGAGAGAGAGAGAGAGAGAGAGAGAGAGAGAGAGAGAGAGAGAGAGAGAGGGAGTGTGTGTGTGTCTTAGGGGGCAAAGTCCCTGCCGAGCCAGGGATCATGCTTCTGCTCCTGCTTCTGGGCTAGCCAGTCAGCTTTTCTTTCTGAGAGAGAAGAGGAATGTTTGGCGACAGAGGACAGAGAAGTCGGGACACTGTGGGGCTGGAGCACTCAGCCAGTAGTGTTGACTATTGTGTCAGGGATGCTGGCTTCACATTAGGCACTGGGATGGCAATGCTTACCTTGTTCCACTGGTAGGAAAAGAGGTGGTCTCTGGGGTTAGCCTTGGGCAGTCACTTCTGATCCCCAAGACTTGCAGAAATGTCCGCTGGAAACAAAGCCGGCTTTCTCTATCTGGTGAGCTCACAGCCCCTTGAAGTGCCTGCACCTGCTCCTTGGCTCCAGCTGGGACTCTTAAGGAAGGGGTAGTAGTGGTTAGAGACCCACTGGCTGTACGGAGCTGGTCATTGCAAACAGAAGAGAGGCCAGTTCTTTTCTCAACTTGGAGGGTCCACACCTCTACTCTTGTCCCCAGGTGTCCACAAGAACCTTGAACCCAATGGCCCAGCCCTGGAGGGAGGAGAACCTGGACCCAGAGTAGGGAGGGGTCTTGTCCAAGTTCAAACAGCAGGTCTGTGGCTGAGCCAAGACCAGGAAGGTGGACCTCTGCCTCAGAACAGCAAGAATAGGACATGTGGGAAGCCATTACCCTGACCTGAGCTAAGCGATTCAGCACTGAATCTCACTCTTCTGTCTTGAGATGCCTGGCTTGGTGTAGGGCCATTAGGTCCCTCAGCAACTCTTGCAAACTTTTCCTACCCTGAAAGGCTTCAGGAAGGCTGAAGCAGGAGCATCTTCAGAAGGCAGGAGCTGCCAAGGCTTCTTGCCCCCCTGATTCCTGTGGGATCCCAGCCAGGGCACTGCAGCTGGCATCAAAGTTTCCACTCAGGCCCCTTGAGTCCTCTGTGCGCAGCCAAGGGCACCTCCCCTCTTCCCCAGCCCTCGCACGTGGCATGGCTGAGCCCAGGGCGGGCCCTCCAGGGAGCCAAGTTCCACTGTAGGGCTTGCTCGGGCTCAGCCTGCAGTTGAGGTGCAGATGGTGATGAGGATGGGCTATGACCCCTTGCTGGGAATTCTCCAGCACTTTGTACCAGAAGTCGTTGATGGGACTTCTGGTTGTAAACACTTGGTACTACATTTCCAGTTTTCTTGCCTTTCTTCCTAGCTTCCATGTTCCATCTGCCTCACGTCTCTTCCCTCCATGACTTACCTACTCCATTTCCACAACCAGGGCAAGTAAGTTCATTGGTGGTGGCACCCCATGGCTGCTTTGTGCTTTATGTATGCAGGCTATGGGCCTTATTCATCCCTTAGCCACCAAGGGCCCAGCCTGGTCCTAGGGTTTGTTTGGAGCAGGGTGTTGAATTACCCTGGCTAGCTAGAGTAGGAAGACAAACTCTGGTTTCTGAGTCTGCTCTATCTTCCCATCCTAGATGTGTGCCTGGCAAGGGAGTGCGTACTGCCAGCTAGACAGTCTCACCAGGAGCCCTTTAGGAGGGGCCTTAGTTTTTGTACATTGGTATTGCCCATAAAGCCCAGGGCTTGGGGGCAGATTTTGATGAGAGAATGTTGATGTCAGCTTGGCTGAAGCCATAGAGAAAACCTACTCAGGGCACATTCTGGTCTGGGCGGTGTCCACACCCAGTCTGAGCCATAGAGAGTGGAGGGGACAGCCCTGGCTATTTCAAATGCAATGCTCATGGTCCTTTGCACAGATTACAGGGTCATGAAACCCAGCTTCCTGGACTCCCTTAGGATGGTGTCAATCAGGCTGGACCTGGGACATTGGTTCTCAGCCAGTGGTCTAGCTGGCTCTCCCAGCACAGGCACGGCTGGGCAGGGCATGCCCATGCCCAGCTGTGTCCCTGGGGATTCTGAGAACTGCTTCCCATTTGGTCTCCAAGGCCCTGGAGATGGCAGAGTCTGCCTTCTAGACTGATAGAGAACCACTGAGGCAGGAAAGGAAGAACTTGAGGCTACATGCAACTCAGCTGCAAAGCAGGAACCAGAACCCTGGACTCTGGTTTCCCAGCCCAAGCCTCTTTCCACTGCACTAGCTGGATGTCTCAGGGTACCTGAGTTTCAGCTTGGTACTCTTTATCTTGGGACTTCCCGGTTACACTTCTTTTTGGGCCCTTGGGCTTACTGAATAGAACTCTGCTATTTTCTGGAAAAGCAATGCACGTGGTAGAGAAATCCCAGACAAGGCACCCCCTAGTTCCTTATCACTGATGATCATAGGCAAATATGCCTTTTTATGGCATAGTTTCCCCTTTGGGGCAACCAGGAACTGAACCAGATATTGCCAGGTCCCTTCTAGGTATCTTAAGTCTTTGTAGACCCCCCTCCTCTTCTTGGGTTCCAAGAGTCAGGGTCAAAGCCAGAGTCTGGCTTAGTCTCTGACCTTTTACTCAGACGCCTCGCCTCCGGGCAGAAGGCTTCTCAGGAAAGCTGTGGCCCAGGCCCCAGCTGGGAGGTTTGTTGTTGTTTGTGGAGCCAGGCTGTTTCCAAGATGTCATTGCTCAGGGAAAACCATCATTCCTCTGAGGGATAAACAAGCCTGCTTATGGCTCAGCCCCTAAACCCAGAGAGGCTGGAGCCACTCACAGCAGGCCAGCTGGGCTCGGCCCCAGGGAACCACCACCTTCCACTATATCACCAGCCACACCCACGCATCCAGAAGCAGGGTAGGAGTGGAGGCAGAAGTGCCAGGCCACGAGCCTCTTGGGAGATCAGAGTTTCCAGGCACCAAAGAGAAGGGCAAGGGTCCCAGGATGTCCTCTTCTTTCTGGCAGTTCCTACGTCATCACTACAGATGCATGGAGAGCTGTTAGGTGTGCCCTCCGCCCCAGATGGCCCAGAGCTTCTCCCCTATCCTGGCTCACCATGGGCTAGCCTGCCTGCATCTGGCACTGTGGCCCAGGCTGCTCGCCAGAGAACTACCTACAGTCCCTGATTTAGAGAGGCCAGGTGGGCAGTAAGTTGTATGGGACTGAACTGGGCCTGCTTTTCACCACGTAGCCAGGACTCCCTGTGCTCTCCTGGTGTTCTTGGGGTTAGCCTTGGGACACTCAGGAGAGGTGGAGAGGGGCAGAAAGGGGGCTTGTCAGAGCCTCTGGGGGCCAAATGACTGGCAAGAACCTGGAGAGAAGGCTGGAGACAACCAGGGGAAAGCTGTGGAATGGAAAGTGGCACAGCTGTCCCACTTTTCAAGTTGTAACTCGTGTCCAGCATGGACATGAAACCCTCCCTGCTCAGAACTTGGTTAATGGAGCTCCCAGTTGATCCAGATAGTGGCTCTGTACAGTCTCTCTGCCGCACTCTTCCCTTCCTCTTTGCCTTTCGCATTTGTTCAGCGTTACACTCTTGCCAGATATTGGAAGTACAGACATAAAAGGCTCATTCTTTTTTTTTTGGTACCGGGGATCAAACTTGGGACCTTGTGCTTTCAAGGCAGGCAGAGGAACCACTGAGCTAAATCCCCTCATTCTTTGATCTGGTGCCAGGGATGGGTAGGTAAGGGATAGAGACAGTGCACCTTCTACAGTGAGGCATGGTGGGGGGCTGTGGGAACCCCCAGGAAGCATCCAATCCAGCCAAGGAACCTCAGTGAAGTTTCTTGCAGGAGGTGAAGCTGAATCTTGTAGTATCAACACTTGCCCATTGAAAGAGCAGTTCTCCACTCCAGTTCACAACACTTCTGTAGTGTAGGGGCTATAGGCTTGGGTCTTGGGGTAGTGCTCACCCCTTACAGTGCGTGCCCTTGGGCAAAACCCAGAGCCTCACCTGCCTCCCATTTCATCAGGCAGTGGCCTATCTCATCTCACTGGTCAAATAAGATGTTCATGTAAAGCTCTTAGAAATGCTTCATGCCTATGGATTCCAGGTCATCTGGCACTGGGAGTGCTGTCAGACCTTATCTCATAGGTAGCTGTCACTAAATGTGGCAATGTAGGTGAGGTGCTCAGCATGGGGTATGAATTAGTCAGCTTTCTGTTGCTGGGACAATTCCTGACATATGCAACTGAAAGGAGAAAAGGTTTATTCTAGTTCACAGTTTCAGAAATTTCAGTTTATGGTTGGCTGGCTCCAAGGCAGAAACATCATGGTGGAAAGCTGCTCAATCCGTGGTGGCCAGGAAGCACAGGGAGAGGAAGAGAAGGATGTGGGTACAAGAATGTACCCAAGTACCCTTTTGGGTCACACTCCTAGTGGCCCACGTTCCTCAGCCATGCCCAACTCCTAATAACA